TATTTGTTGTTTACAACAAAGATAAATTCAAATTAAATTCTGATGTCTATAACATGAATACTAGACAAAAATACAACTTCCACCTACCCTCATCAACTTTATCAGTATATCAAAAAGGAGTCTACTTTACTGGCATAAAAGTGTTCAACAATCTGCCACAAAGTATTAAAAACTTGGGCAATGATACTAAAAAGTTTAAATCAGAGTTAAAGAATTATCTACATGCTCATTCCTTCTACTCTTTAGATGAATACTTCAATGTAAATAGAGAATGATGTAAAATTAAGTTATATTAATTTTTAAGCTAAAATTGCCTGTACTTATGTATGTAACATTTTGACTTGTTCTGTATCCAAAGGTACTAACCTGCTTAGGATTTATAGAATGTAAATAAATTCAATTCAATTCAATTGCCATGGTAACAAGAGCTCACAAGTGGACTTTTCATGAGCCAGATGAATCACTAATAGGAAAAGGTGCTGGACTCTAAAGTTTGTCAGCCTTTTTATGGGTTTCTATTTTAGAAAATAACCTTTTTTCAGTGGTACTATCTGTGTGCAGTTTTATAGTCTGCTGTTTCATTTGCCTTGGAAAAAAATTATATGAATCTCATCCTGCGTATTTCATGTGAGCTTCTTACATGCAGTGAACGCTGCAGGTAGGCTAGTACAGTGTAGAAAAGTAGGCAATACAGGCATACCAAGCGCTGATCTGGACACAGTACCTTCTCTGCTAGAAGGAAGAAGAGTACCTGCAATGGAGAGTAAACACTTGGGTTTCTGTTATTCTTTGTACAATAAAATGTTCCCCAAATCATTTCCTCACATAATGCCATGGATAATATCTTATTCATTCATTCATCAGTACTCTGTCAGACGACAGGTCCACAGTCTCTTCCAAAACAGTTCCTCCACTTAATGCGATCTTCTGTTTTTGGAAAGAGACTATCCAGGAAAAGTGATAATGTGGTAGTTTTTCCATTTGCTTTCCACATCGCAGTACAGCAGCCGTTCAAACCACTCTGGTCACGCCTGTTGCTATACGAACTTGAACCATCTCGAGCATCATTTGCTCTGTGCTTCAAGTCGCTGCTGATGACGCTGCTTCCGGCATCAGTTTTTGGTGTCTCTCTTCGTCTGATGCCTACCCTTTGACCTGTCCAGCAAGGGAGGCCCTGCCAGTAGCTACGCTACCGCTGGTATAGCTCTCAGGGTCCTTGGCATACTCAAACCCCCTCACCACGATAAGGTGGAGACACCTTAAACGTTTTGTTTTAAACAAAATATGTTTACTTCTTTGCTTCAAATTATTTTGATCAGAATTGAGAATGTTTAAATTAAAAGTTCCTTTCTACCCTTCACTTTGTGTCTGGTTAACAAGATAGTGATTTTGTTGCAAGCAATGATGCAGTTGCTTGTATAAGGAAGTCCATTCCTGTTCTTGTTACAAAAAATAGCATATGTCTCTCTCTCTGCACATAATGATATGTACTGAAGGTCAGTACATAATTAACAGTGTACTAAAAAGTTTTCATGGACAGAGGAATAATGGCAATTTAATAGTGATGATTGAAATTTCCATGAAATGGCTACACTTGTAGTCATTGTTTCTGTAAGATATGCAGGATTTGGAAAGAAAGCAAAATGGGCAATACAACTGATTCAAAGTTGTCAGAACTAGGCAAGAAGAGAAGATCATCCTGTCTGAATATTTGAGATGAATTCAATTGCAGTGCCCTCAGAACATTGTTTATTCTTCACGGTAATGATGAAACTTAGGAAAATTAATTTAGTAGCTATAAATAAAGTCAGTTTAAAAGGACACAAAGAAACATTAAGAGGAAATATAAAACAGGCATGTTCAAGGTAAGGAATGATAATATTGTTTGGGGAGCCAAATCTTTAGGGTGCTGGAACAAAACAGAATCTAATTGTCCCAAACCAGTCATGTAGTTACATGACATTTCATTATACAGTAAGCAAGTGCTGGTAAAGTGAACACAAATCCTATATAAGGAAAAGTGATAGCTGCATCCCGAGACTTGCAGTATTTTGTGGTGGCAATTAGAACAGATTTATTCCCAATGCTCTATTAATGTTCAATGAAAAAACCAGAGATTATTATTACAAGATGAATATTGAAAATTTCTACCAGATTTACCGTTGAATTGGCTGATCGTTATGAGCATGTATACCAGAGTGTGCAACAAGATATGCCACCCTTCAAGAAAATGAACATTCAAAACTGATTGACAGCAATTGTAACGGTAGACAAATTTGTCAATAAAAGTGAACTACTGGCAGAGGTAAAGTGCCTTATTCCTCTGGCAACATATAAGATTGGTGAACATTCTAAGAACTATGGGCATCAAATATTCAACTACCACTATACTGCTGCAATATAAATCCTATGAAACATATTGTAAGGGGTGATGGTAGAGAAGGACATCACCCAGAAACTAATGGATATTCAGAAGCTTAGAGTGGAAGCTGTGGGCTCTGTGAGTGCAGAAGAATGGAGATTGTATGCAAAAATTGGAACAATACTGAAAAACTGAAAGTGTTATGGATAATTCTGCTTGGTGACATAAATGATGACAAACACAGCAGTTATGATAGCAGTGAGGATAGCAGGATATCTGCCACAGAACTATTAACCCTGTTGGTGCAATATTCAACTAAACTTGAACAGGCATGCAATAAAATATAGTGCAACATTTGACTTTAATCCGCATCAAGAAGTAATCTTGTCCTTTTGCTATGTCTTTCAGTTTCATTTACTGAGCTATGAAAATGCATTTTTATTGTGTTTTTTCATGTTTTTTTACCTTAAAAATGCATTATTTTAGGAGAATGTTGAAAAAATAATACACACTGAAGAAGTTTAAATTAGAGCTGAGATAAGATGAAACTGTTCTTTGCAGTACTGCTTACTATCAGTGATAATTTTATATCCAGTACTATTGTTTTAAAGTCTATATATATATATATATATATATATATATTTAGCACACACACTGTTACAGCTTATGACTATGCTCCTGTCTTCACATGACTGATTATCATGATACTGATGAATATTTTAATTTTTTGTATTAGTAGCAGCATTTGGAATGAAACCTGGAGCCATGTCTAATAATGTGTAATTACCTTGCATTTTACGTACCTGGTTTGTAGTGGTGTGGATGCTGTCTAGACGCATATACAGCCTGTGCATGCAGACTATGAAGGCCAATGCATTTCTGGCACTGTGGTATATATTTTCTGTGTCCCACGTGACTACAGCTACATTCCTGCACCAAAACAACAATTTCTATATCCACTGTATTATAGCATAAAGTTCATCTATCAAAAATACTTAGGCAAGAGACACTTTCATGTTGTTTACCTTACCAGGCTCTATATAGACCTGTTATGATTAGATGTCAATCAAGAATTCCATCTTCTGGGATATAAAGCTATGTAGTTGGTTGAAAATCAATTGACATTTTGTTTCTTGCATGGCTTATTCTTAAACCCTGAAGATGGAGACATGTTCCTCCAGAATTATAACTTTTTAAGTTGTAATGGAATTGCCTTTGGAAACCCTTATTTTTACCCTAGGGTTCCACAGAGCACCCATCACCAAACACTGCCTATGAAGGCTAGAGGGGTTATTGTTAGATTATTAAAATTTTGTTATATTTGATCATGTGGAAACACTGCACTGGAGTTATTATCTGAGTATCTAGTGAATGAGATGGGCAAAGGCCAAGTGGACCTGCTTGTGAATAACGCACAATAGAGGTGCCTGTGTTATGGGAACAGCATACCTAGGCTATGTAGTTCCTTTATCATGGGATTCCTTTTCAGAATAGCACACAAGCTTAAGTACTGAGCAGGCTTGTGGAGTGGTAAAGCTTCCGAGTTTTATGCAGATGATGCCCAGTTGGAATCTCGACCAGGACACTGGCTATCCTGACTTGAGATTTCTCATGGTTTCTCAGTCCAAAAATTTGGCCATAAATGTATCTTTATTATTTGTTAATCATCTTACACCTCCACATTTATCCCTACTTTGATATAGTGGGGGGGGNATGCTGGTTGTAGCGTAGCTACTGGTAAGATCTCCCATGCCGGACAGGTGAAAGATGACGATCCTCCAGGTTGGGGGTTGGGTGCAGTGTTTGCAACCCTACCCCATGAAAAGCCTAATTTTCTGAGAAGGTTTTAATGATTGCAGATGGATGGGGGTACCTAAAATGACCTAGCAAAATGAAGGACTTGTGAGCGGGCATATAAAATGTGCTGTCCCTGTGTAGAAGTGGGGAACTTCCAGAAGGTACTCAATGAGTAGGCAGATCTGCTATCAGATGGCTGGATTTAGTTGAAGATTAGAAGACAATGGGCATTATAAATTGGAGATGAAAGACAGGATCGGGACCAATGGCGAGCAATGGTAAAAGAGCCGAGGTTCATCATTAACTGTAGCGTCCTCTGAAGAAGATCCATACTGCAACTCGATGCTGTGTATTTTGAGATAACTAAACCACAAATAAGTATAAAATAGGGAGCTGGGAGAGGCAGGTCTGTACAGCAATGGGCTACGGACTGGACAGCCAGGAATCTGTTTGATTCCCTGCTGAGACGAGAGATTTTTCCCTGTTCCGCAGGGACTGTACTAACTCTGGGAAGCGCCAGACCTCCTGTTCAATGGATACCGGATGTAAAGTTATCTGGGCTTGAAGCTGAAGTCAGTTGAGCCTCATGACTCAGAATCATGAGATAGAAAATTATGTTCATGTGTCGCGTGGGGCTTGGAACTGAGAATGACTGCTAGCAAAGGCCAGCAGCAATTTACCCGGAACCGAAACCTGACTGCTCAGTTCCATCTAGCTGTGACATTGAGAATGCATGGAGCTATACCTCCATTCCTCATAAATCTTCATTGCATGGTGCCTAATTAAACACAGGGGCAACTTTACTTTTACTTCTGAGTATGAAATAAATAAGCTGAGGTTAAAACATGTGGTTTTATATTTTCCTTCAGACAGGTATAATTGTCTTAAAATGACAGGACAGCATACCACATAATAGTGGACTTATTTCATGTGCTTAGAAGTACTTAATATATTAAAATAAGTTATGGCAGTATTCTTCCCTGTTCACATTTATAATCAGAAAATGTTACAGTTGAGCGATAGCACTCTGACACCAGTTGAAACTGCAGCCACCTGCTCAACGCTGGTTCCTCGCTCACAAATTTTTCCACCATGAAGATGGAGGCGATACATTCCTCAAAACGTCGGTTTACACAGTATGCGGTGCCACATCCCAGATGACGACATTCTTCAATAGGACAAATGTCTATAGCTCGTTGCTAGGCAACATTCAGCGTGCCAGTAGACTGCTGAGGTAGCTATCACGTGACTTGTTTTCTCTGGGGTCTTCCTTATGCAACAGTGGGACCATGTTTTCCATGCATGGTTGGCCTGTGAAGACTTGGTGTGTGATTAGAAGGCTTCATTCATGTATATTATTTGGAGTGTGTGATTCAGTCAGACTGTAACAGTTCCTGTGTTTTAGCTGTGGTACCAGGAGAGGACCAGTGTATATGTGTAAATTAGTGATATCACTGTATTTAAATGTGGTTAAGAGAAATGGTAACCAAGGTTCTAATAACACTAATCATCCAAACTAGAACCCGTTATTCTTGTCACACGCACCACCCTACATGTGACAGTGCCTTAACATTAGCCATGACTGCTTCGTTCTCAATTTATCATTCATCACCAATAATCCTTCCACTTGATGCTATACAGGTAGTATAAGCAGCTGAAAAAGCATCATAAAATAACACAAAATCGCTGTGCCAGTGCCTGGGGGAAGACATGTTAATACAGGTATGTATGTTTTAAAGAGTTTTATGGATTGGGGACATCTCAAACACACTGAATTCATGATTTTTTTTTTTTGCAGAAGGATATACCCTCTGTACTTCATCTGTGTAAGAAGCATGAATACGTTGGTTTGGTTACCTTACTGGGATCAGAGTTAATGTATCACTGCTTGAAGACGCACCTAATTCTAGCAAACAGTGAGCCAGCTGTGTAGAAGCCTGTTGCCATTGGTACTACAAGTGTCACGTACACTAGGACCAACAGGAGGAGTGTGACCATACTGTACAGTCGTGCTGCTAATGGAATGAGGAAAAGCAAGGCCAACAGACATCCTGCAATAGAGAGATGGTTACAAACTTCAGATGCTGCTCTTTTCATGTCATTCCTGAAGTAATGTATATTGTTTACAAGATTTTACAGAGTGTTCCAAAATATACAGTACTGAAATGAAAAGATGTTCTGTTGATACCACTGTCTATTCATGTGAAGGTCCCTTGCATGACAAAACCTTCTCAAATCCTGAAGAAATGGTGCAATCACCAGGTCCCTGTAGCGTTCTTGGTTGATGGTCAGAGCATTGCCTTCCTCATCCTCAATGAAATAGGGGCCTAATATACCGTGTGCTGAGACGACACACCATAGCGTCACACGTGTACTGTGTAGCGGTTTCTGGACGATAACATCTGGCCGCTCAAAACCAAAGAAGCGTGTTGTCTGGCAACCACTTCCGTATGAACGGAAATAATACTCAACTATGAATACTTTTTCCTCTGTTGAGAGACCCATTTCCAACAACAACTGCACAACATAACTTTTTTTTTCACTACTGGGAACATGTGTGGCTGGAGCTATGCCCCATCGACAAACGCACATGCGCGTTTGAGATGCGTGAGTTTCAGTACTGCATCTTTTGGCTCATACTGTATTTGTTATTAGAAAACATCAGTTGAAGGACCATTGCCTGATATTCCTCTATGGCTCTACAACAGTATAGTACATTCTGCAGTATGTTAACATGGAAATGTACATGGTGAGTCAAATGAAAACCTTAACTTTGTAATAAAAAATCGAAATTTCATGCCATTATCCTGTAAGTTTGTAAGCGTGCAGAATGGCCTGTAGGTTGCAGCATAGTGCAGATGCATGAACACTGTTACAGCACCAGTATAAGATGGCTGCCCCACTTGAGACTTGTACCAAGGAAGAATAGCATTCTGTTATTCGGTTTTTGTGTAGTGAAGGTGTGAAACCTATTGAAATTTATCAAAGAATGAAGTTTCAGTATGGTGATGCATGTTTATCACATCAGCAAATGTACGAATGGAGTAGGAAGTTTGCAAATGGTGTGACTTCAGTGGAAGATGCTCCTCTTCTGGGTCAGGCACATCGAGTTGTGACTCCAGAGAACACTGCAGCAGTTGAAGCCATAGTGAGGGAAAACTGCCGAGTGACATTGAATGAAATTGCAGCAAGTTTAAACATTAGAGGTACGCCACGCGGTGCATGAGTGGTTGCGTGGACTACCAAAAGAATTTTTTTCTAAAGGAATTCATGCGCTTTGTAAGCGCTGGAGGATTTACGTCGAGCATGGGGGAGATTATGTTGAAAAGTGATACAGCTTTGTACCACTTGTGCACAATAAATAATACTCAAAAAAATATTTAAGGTTTTCATTTGACTCGCCTACATATTAATAGAGGAAGGTTTCTTTAAGAATACACCATGGAAAGGATTAAATTTGTACTTTACTTATTTATTCTGTAACCAGCCAAGTGCCAGGTCAGAGATGAACTCACCCAAGTTAAATACCTGAGCTATGCTCTGAGTACAGCACTGTAAAACATATTGTACAATTTGTAGAGACAATAAATGTATCTTCACTTGTATTCCAGTAAACATACTTAATTTTCCTGTTTCCCTTGCTCTGTGTTATCAGAATATCACAGTCTATAATGATCATATGGACCTCACAGCAAAGTAGTTGTATGAACTCACCTGCAGTGGCATGTCTGTTCTCCAGCTGCTGTAGAGCTGCGCGGTAACGGTGTGGATTGCCCACCATCATCAGCCATAGAATGAGATCACTGTAGATAGCCTGAAAAACTACTTATTTTATTTCAGTTATGTCACCCTATTTTAACTCGTCCTGCTTAATGAATGAAATTTCCAACAAACTCCGGACTTTTAGTAACATCAGAGCTTAGTTGAATTAAAATATGAATGGCCACCCAGTTTTTTTTTGGGGGGGGGTGCCATATCTTGCTATCAGAACTTTCCCTTGTCTAGTGTTCTTTATTTCCTCTCCAGAGCGACTGAAGGCGACTATAACTGAACTTACAGTGCAAAAGTGATACATTTACATTTACATTTATTCAGCATTCCACAAATCCTTACATGGTTTCAAAACACCATGGATATAGAAGTAGTCAACATGAGTAAGCATAATTACATACTGCATCACATTTGTGCAATGTCATAACAGTAGCCATATATAAATATTTACAAAAACATGAATACATGAATACATGAACATGGATATAGAAGAAGTCAACATGAGTAAGCGTAATTACATACTGCATAACAATTGTGCAATGTCATAACAGTTAGCCATATATAAATATTAATAAAACATGAATACATGAACATAAACCGTCACATGCAACAATAAAGTGCTATTACCTACAATCTGTAACAAAATCAGGAACATCAGTTGTTATCCTAATTGTATTATGTTTATTAT